AAAAAAAAAAAGAGAGATGGGGGTCTCACTCTTGCTCAGGTTGTCTCAAACTCGTGAGTTCAAGCAATCCACCTGCCTCAACCTTCTAGGGTACTGGGATTATAGGTGTTAACCACCACATCAGGCTGACTTTTTTTTAAGAGACAGAGTCTTGCTCTGTTGCCCCGGCTGCAGCCTCAAACTCCCGGACTCAAAGTATCCTCCTTCTTCAGGCTCACCACAGACATACAACACTACACCTAGCTAATTTTTTTTGGCAGTGATGGGGTCTTGCTATATTGTCCAGGGTGGTCTCAAACTCCTACTTCAAATATTCTCCCACCTCAGGCTCCCAGAGTGGTAGGATTACAGGTGTGAGCCAGTGCACCTGGCTGAAAGGGTAAACTTTACAATATTCAAATTAAAAAGAAAATATTTGAAGTATGAGAAAATAACCAGAAAAAAACTTAGCAAGAAGCACTGTGAAAAGAAAATAGGGTAAGCTGAACTTTGCGTGTGTTTGTGCAAAATGGAAGGTGAGAAAGGTGAGAGAAAAGCCAATATGCATTGATCTACATATATTAACTAATTTTAGTAACAAGTGAACTGAAATACATTCATCCCTAGTAGAGTACCAAAAGGACTAATACTTTAGATTTGGGCAACTTTGCTTAAAAGAATGGAAAAATTTTTTGAGCTATTTAAAAAGAAAGTAACTAGTCAAGCATGGTGGCTCATGCCTGTGATCTCAGCACTCTGGGAGGCCAAGGTGGAAGAATCCCTGGAACTTAGCAGTTCAAGACCAGCCTGAGTAAGAGTGAGACCCCATCACTACTCAAAATAGAAAAACTAGCCAGGCATGGTGGTGGGTGCCTGGAGTCCCAGCTATTCGGGAGGCTGAGGCAGGATCGCTTGAGCCCAGGAGGTTGAGGCTGCCCGGCAGTCTTACTCATCTTCTCTGGTCAACTCACTGGTGATAATGACTATTTCAAACCCCCCTCACTCTTCTAACCCGATCTCACTGTTACCTCCCATTCTGCAGGGCAGCCAGCCACAGCCAGCAGTGCTTTGTCCTTTATCCCTCTTAGGTTGTTCCCCCGCCCATTAGCTCTTTTTAAAATAGGGTGGACGACATTTCAAATTCAAAAGTACAATCATAGTTAGGAACTGAGACTTGGCAAAGTGAGTACCATTGCTGGCACTTCGGTGGTTTTAGGAGTAGGGTCTTCTGAGGGGACCCGGGACACTGTACAGAGTTCTGCTCACCATATTCAGTAACTGCCACTGCCTCATAGTTCAGAGTAGGGTTCTGGTGCTTCCTCTTCTATTCTTCTGAATTAAGCTCTTGATTAAATATATTTGAACTTCCAATAATAACAACTACAACAAAACACTCAAAACACAGTGATGATTTAAGTTTGAAGGTATATTTTGGAATAAAAATGCAAAATAAATTTTTACAAAATTGTTACATAGCAATACACCTTACAATATCATTAAGCTACATTTACTTAAAAAAAGTTACAGATCTAGTCATCAACAGAAATAGCTGTTATTTACAAATGCCAAATTCCTTTCCTTGAGGAAAAGGAGAGCTCCGTGAAATGGCAGACTGCAGGTGCGACACTGTTCCGCCCCTCTGGAAGTGAGGCCTGCCCCTGGCTGGGGGCTGAACTTGGTCCTCCACCTTCCCAGGTGCCAGAGCAGAGGTTCTGCCTGGGTGACTTCTCTGGTCCTGGGCCCTGTGGTCCTCTTACTTCACTGACCACTATGAAATGTGACTATAAATTTCCTTTGATTGTAAACAGAAAAATAACTTAATATGCTTAAAAATTTTACTACAAAGTGTTCTATAATTTTTATTGTGACGCACCACATTTGCAACATTTTAATTTCTGAAGTTTCTGATTTGGCTCACTTGGTGGTCTGTGGCTTGCGGCATCCTCTGTGAAATTAGCTGGTGGTCCTCTCTGGAAGCCGCCTCCTATGGGATGGGCTGTGAGAGCCCCACTTACTGGTTTATTTTTCTTTCCTTGCATTCCATTTTTATTATATACGTTGCATGTTAGAATGTTCAGTTAGAATTTCTTCGTGTCATCCTGTTAGTAATCAACAGTTTGAGGTTTTTACGTGGTAGCTCTTAGGAGGTTTTGCTGGTTTGTGAAGCTCAACTGATGTTGAGATGTGCACAGATCAGCTGCATTTCAGCACCTTATGGTTCAACTCCATCTCATTATGAATGCTGCATTTTCAGCCTTAAAAGAATCAGCTTAGTTTGCTCAGACTTCCTCTCAAATAAAATATTTACTTTCTTTTTTAATACTAAACAATCTTTTTTTTTTTTTTTTTTTTTAACAACAAAACCATGCTCAGGACAAACACCACAAAACCATAATCTTACATAAAGCGTCTAAAACGCCATTGACTTCGTGTTTGTATATCAATTCTAAACTAAAGGCTCAAGCCTGTGACCATGCCCAGGGATCCCTAAACTCTTCCACGTCATCATTTTTACAGTTTGATAAAAACTAAAATGCAGAGTCCTAAGTGGGAGGGTATC